TTTCTACCACATCAACAAGTCCCTTCAGTATAACTTGCATACTCGAAAACCGGTGGAAAAGCCGACACAGTAAAAGTATACATGTGTTTCTGTTCTGAATTCCATCTGAAAATTAATATAGATGCCTCTATCCATTCACATTTGACATTTAGTAGTTAATCAGCTTCAGTCAGCTACTGTATGAGTTGCACCTCAGGCACCTTTGCTCTGCCAACAATGTCCTCACTGGAGTTTGGATAAGCTGGGGAGATCGCTTTCAGAGACAAGAAAAACGAGAAAAAAAAGAAAAGAGAGATTACGCATTTCATAACGCAAAACCGAAGCCCCAAAACAAAATAACCAATGAAAGAGCTCATTATCTGTCTGCACAATTTAGAAAAGGACAGTACTTTCAGGGGACCACAGAGTAAACATGAACACTGCAGTCCACAGAGCAGCCTGCGATGCAAAATGCAACTTAGAAGATGATGCTGGTCACTGTGATCATGACGCTTGAATAATTGTGTTAAAGTTTTGCAAAACTTTTTAAAGCTTGGAATGTACAGATTTTATGTCGTTGCCAGGGTTTGCCTGACTGTACATGCTGTGTAACAACATATAGTTAGAGTGGTGAGTCCAGTTCTGTGATTTCTTTGCTATAGTATGTGTATATACCTACAAAGGAAGTCAATTTGAGAAAAATCTGTACTCAAAAGAGAATCTATAGCCTACATTTTCTGGTTTTGTCATTGCTTATTGTGCATCAAAATCACAAAGAACTTGTTTTCAAAAAGCCAACACAAGTTTTTCGCCCCATTATATTTACCTCAGACATTATTTTTTAACTGCTAAAAGGGGATCCCTAATTGTGGTTTAAGGTTTAACAATACAGCCTCTAGTACACCTTGGGGAATTAAACATTTCTGACTTTTGTATCGCGGCACAGTGGGACCTAACAATGCACAACGATAACCTCTAAATTTTAGAACAAAGACGAACCTCAACCACCGGAATAATTTCTGTAATAACATAATTCCACACATAGGGGGCTTTTAATAGCACACTGTGGTCCCAAGTGTAGCTGCAGTTTCCACAGAGGAGATGAAGGGAACCAGAAACAACTAAGAAGCCAATGGGACTGTATTCAGATAAGATAATTAGGTCTACGGTGGATATCAACAGCACAAATGAATCATGGGACTGGGCAGAACGAGGCCGAGAAGTGGCTGTGTACCTCTGCTTCTGCAAAGATCTTTGTTAGTATGTTGCCCCCAGATACCAGGAGCTGCCGGCTCATTAGCACAAAAATAACACGGCAAAGTTAAAAAAGAATGTTAAATAAAACTACGCCAAAACCCTTTCAACTTATTTTGGAAAAATTCCATCTAGCACCTCGCGGTGTGACTGCACAGGAGGAAACTAAACACTGAGAAAAACTAAATTAGGGGGCAGCTTTAAAGTTGGTGTCACATTAGCCTGGTGAAGCTGGTGTCACCCAGCGCTGGCAGACAGACGGTTGCAGGACACGATCATCTCAGTGAATTCAAGTTGGGACAATGATGTAGAAATAATTTAAAAATATATGTGGCTACATTTTTCTGAGGCAGTTTTCATGTGACTGTGGTGTCACGCGAGGACAAGAAATAAAGCTAGCAATATGGAATATTTATCCACAAGAGGTTGAAAATCCATATTCACGTGTGCATATGTAATACCTCACATACCAAGTGGTACCAAAACACATGATGTACTCCCAATACATGCAAAAGTAATCATACAGAAACCAATTGGCAAGAATCTGTTTGCAAGGTTTGTGGTATTGTTAGACATCCTCACTGCACACAACCTCATTTTTTTCTTTCAGAAAATACACTCATGCAAACTGTAGACTCAATAAACCGATTTTCTGTAATATATAAACCCTGTACAAAGACAAAAATCCCCCAAAATGATGGATTAGCTCGGACATTAAAATGCTAACAAAAATGTCTGACTGTAACATTTACCACCACCCAAGTTAAGGTTCATAAAAACACGGCACACATTTTAGCCAAATTCAGAGAATTAGCTAAATAAATTGTAAATTAAGACATCTGGTATTCAATGAGTTGTTATACTAGAAGGAACTTAATTAAATGAAGTTAACTAAGTACTGTACTACTGTGATTTCAGATTGAAATATTGTACTTTTTACTACATGTATTTAACAACTGTGTTTTGTATACAGTATACATATAGAGACTTTACGTCCATACATCCATACTACATATAAAGTAGCTAAAACTAGCATACTTTCAATTAAAAGCCAGATAATAGCCCGGTGTGTAGACGACATGAGCAAAGACCAGCCCCCAAATACAGGGACAAAACAAGGATTGCCTGTCATATAATGTACATAGCAGTAAACTAGAATGTAGATTTCTTTTGCTTTTCCACAGTAAATGTATTTCCAGGAGCAGCTGAGTTTGTATTAATGGCGTAACTTTAACAGGGCAAACAGGAGCAGATCAAACCAAGGCTGCATACTAAAATATGACCAATTACACTTATCAAACGCAGGGAATTTGAAATAAAGGCCTGCCTCAAACACAAGTTTGCTTCATATAAAGGGTCGTTACCTTCTGCAGTTTAGCTGAATAAGGCTCTCGTCACTATTTGAGGATTTACAGAAGCTGCACTTCAACCACATACAGCAGCACAATCTTGCATCCACATGAATTAAACCAAAGTAACCACCTGATGATAGCACCAATAAAAGAGGTTTTTAAGTATTTTGATTTTGCAGTGGTGATACTTTTTCTTTTGCTTATCAACAATACAATTGGATGCGGCTTGCTTCTACGTTTACACCAATTTCTTCTTGACTTTGCCCAAGCATTAAAACCTATTTTGAGGTTTTTCATTTTTCGTTCTGGTATTCCCACTTGTCCGCACATTTTCAGTTTAATCACAACAACAGATGGACGGACACTGACCACCTTATGTATTGTTCTGCGATCCAGTTTGCTGCGAGCATTTCTGCTGTTGCGACTCGTAAAACCATAACAAACCAAACTGTAGTTCTAAAAATCACACATTGAAGTTTCAGTTCCGTAAGGGGTTTAAATGAAAATCCAAACGGAGCTTTGAATGGTAATGACGTCTCAACAGGGGGCGCTACACCGCTGCGGCAGATTGGGTATCAGTTTCCATTTCAGGTCTGAGTGTCTGCCCTGATGTGGCGTTGATATAGTGATAGGGGTGTGTCTCAGTCAGGACCTCCCAAGAGGAGGGTGGACATCTGCTGCCTTTGAGGTCCTGTCACATGAAATTACAGACTTAATCAAGTCCTCTCCATCTCCTTTGCCCTTCTCCACCTCCTCCCTCTGGATGTGTCTTTCTCTGTTTCGTTCCCTCTCCTCAACCTCCTCCTTCAGTATCTGTCTCTGCACCCTGCCTTCTTTTCTTTTCTCTCTCTCTCTCTCTCTCTCTCTCTCCTATGCATCACATACATTTTTCTCTTTGCTCTTTTCTCCTTGACTTTCCTTTTTAGCCAGTCTCTCACCACCACATCACACCTCCTCCCCATCTCCCTCCCTCCCCTGCCTCTAGGTCACAAGGAGCTGATCCAGCCTCCTGTTCCCGAGTCTTACTTAAACTTCAGTTATGTCAGCCGGCCTGCAGCAGAAGCTGTGCCGAAGCCCCAGGGATCCGGTGACCTTAGGAGCGCACGGGAAGGAAATGCAAGATATGCTGTAAAGTAAATGGACAAGGTATAGCTGAAAAAAGTAAAAGGAGAAGGGTGATAGGGGAAGAGACGGAGTGACAGAAACAGAATCGAAGGTGAAAAGAGTGCGCAGAATAAGGAGAAATGCAGTATATCACACTGCTGATGTAGTTTGTACTGCCGCATAGGTTACTAAGAAGTAAATGCAGTAAAATAGTCTTTCAAACCGCATTTTTCTTACGATTTATCTTGACATTTTCAACAGTTATCTCTACGGAGTAGCTTTGATTGGCAGTGGCAGAGTCGGCCATTCCTGTTTGGCAGCTGTAGTAATGACAATGCAGGCAATTCTTTACAGCCAATTTGCCTGCAAATGCTAAACGTTATTGGCCAGTCGAGCCTTTAAGTATTTGTTAACACAGCTCAGACAAGTTTTAGTAGTTTAACCTTCAGCGTTATCTCAGGCCATAGCTACCATTGAGGACACGGGTCTTTGGGGCTTTGGTAGCCATGGGGAGTTCATTATTTTCAGCTTAAAAGCATTTTATAAGCTTTCATGTCAATAAAAAAAACAAACCATCAACGCTGTAAATTTAAAGAAAGTAATGGAAGAAAGATGGCCTCCCTTTTTGGACAGTAAACTGTGTTTTGCTTTGCAACTTTCAAAGACACGCTCACCCTTGAAAACCCACTCGATGCTTGTGCTGTGAACTCATGAATTTTGATGATTTGGAGTTTTAAAAAAAAAACAATTTTATCAGGTCATGATTATGCACAAAGCACCGATTCGCTTTCTATGTTTGCTCCGCTCCAACATAGTATGTTTAAAACACCCACTCCCATTGCGTCCTTCCTAAACGGTAGTTTTTGCAAAGAATGTATCAAATAATGCAAGTTGGAAGCTGAAACATGGCTTGTTATTGTGATAGCCTTGTGCTTCTTCCCATATTGGATATAAACTTTACAAGAGTTTATTATTAAAGCCTGTACAGTGAGGACAACATTGCCTTGAAGTAATTACAAATCTGCACAGCTGAATGTGTCTTTAAAGCAAGAAAATCACAGCAAAGAGAAAACACTGCAAATTGCCTGACAAAAAGAATGTGCTGCACACATGAGCGCACACATGCCACTCTGTGTTTTGCTACATCAACCGCAGTGAACTACCGGCATCTGCTCTGAGGAAAAGCCCATCACAATTCCGCTAATCCCCTCCCCAATCAACCCACTGTGAGTGTCAGCCTCTGATAAGCCCCTCGCCCAACCGTTACACACAAAGCACACAGCCTCAGTCACGACCTTCGCTCCCACTCACCCATGGCAAAGAACGGGATCCCCAGCAGCGTGGAGTTGAACTTCCCGTCCGATATGAAGAAGATCCCCGCAGCCGTCACGTTGGCGATGCAAATGGTCAGGACGCCCAGGAGGCCCAGGAACGGCTTACCCCTCAGACAGTCCCGCATGGAGCTGGAGATGGTGGCGGCCAGGAGCACCAGCACCAGGCTGACCAGCACCTCCCCCTTGGCCAGCACGCCCGTCTGGTGGAAGTCCCGCCACAGGCTGAAGGAGGTGAGCGACTGGATGTGGAGCTGGTCGGGGGCGTGGGGCGCCTCGGACGTGGACAGCCGGCTGACCAGGGCGCAGAACTCGTTCTCCCAGCGCTCTGCGATGGCATCCTGCACCGGGGGTCCGTGGTTACGGAGGTAGTAGGTGATCTGGACAGCGCGGGCGAACTTGACCTGCTGGTCACGGCTGTTGGGCGAGAAGGACACGCCGCCAAGCTGGTGTCCGATGAAGGACACTCGGCCATCCTGCAGGGAATTCAGAAAAATCACACATTAGTTCTGATGAAAAAGTGACACTCTGACAGTTTGACACCAGTAAATGGAGAGCAGCTTCAATCCACAAAAAGCAGTGCAGCAGTACATTGCAACCGCTTAGATAAACGTAAGTTTCAAACATAATTTTGATGGGTTCAGTCGACAGAACAGTATTGGGAATTGCATCAACTTAATATTATGTGTCATTTAAACTGAAATTTCTGCGTTATTTGATCTAAAACTAAATTCAAGTTGAGATAATTTAATGAAATTAGCTGGAGTTCAGGATTTAAAGTCCACTTTCCCGCTTACTAAACATACCTGGACAATTTCAGACAGTTTAGCCTGCTAATTAAAAATAACTTTGATTGTAGTTTAAGTTGTCAAAAACTAAAAAAAAAAAAAAAAATAGAGGGAGAAAAAAGAAGCCAACTGTTGAGTTGATTTATTTTGTTGAGCCCAAGCGTTATTTTATTTATGTTTTTTCTTTTTTTAGTGTGTAGCTTTCTGCTTCGCTCTGATATCGCAGCTGTGGACAGAGCTGGTGATATATTGTGAAGCCTGATGTGCTGCTCCATAGTAATTTTCAAATTAATCAAATTATACAGCACATGCAAGACATCACAGTGACAAGAGTTTGGAGATAATGTAATTGTGCAATAAGAATTGTGCAGAGCAGCGAGGGGTTCAATAAGGCAGCAGGGACAATAAAAGTGGGAAGCATCAGTCTATGGGGAGGAAATCTGAATACATAAGGGACGTGAGGTTATTGTTGGCACAACCTTTCATAGTTAAGCTGGAAATATTGCCAGGGCAGCACTGCAGATGTACACGATGCCAGAAGTTCAGCAGTTCAGTCCGGGGGAAACGGGACCAAAGGATGTTGTGTGCAAGGTGTGACGCAAACTGAAACCATCAATAATGTATGGAACTTCACCCACAGGTGCCTGAAGGGATGATTAAAAGGTTTACTGTTTCCACCATCTAGCTGGATGTTTGTCAGTTAGCTTCACCCAGGAAAGAGGTGAAGAGCGCTTGTCAGTGAGACAAATACACAGAAAACATACTGGTTGCTAATACTAACACTGAGCTAAAGAAGTCAAAACGTGTGTCACAGGCTGAGTTAGTTTCCCAGAGCCACTGAACCCTTTAACGGCACATCACGTCGTAATTCCAACATTGCTAAAAAATGCTGTGACTTTCAAGTGCAGCGTCTAATGGCTACGAGTAACACAGTTAAAGCACGTTGAGAAAAAAGTGCATTTGTTATATCTACATAGAGTTGAATTACTTTTACCTGCCATCCTCTGTCACAATATGCAGCCTTTCAGTGATACATTCTGACTCGTCTCCATTATAGACCACCTTGCATGACAATTTTTTCATGTTCTCCTTGAAACTGCTAAACATGGTAAAATCACTGCTTTGGATTGATATTAACTAAACATATGTACTAATCATAAAGATGGATAAATCCTCTGACATCACCCACTAGTTTCCTGTACAGCAGTTCTGAAACTCAGTCTGGTGTCTTTGGTTGTCATCATCTTTGCAGTGCCTGACTCCTCCTCAATCCCAACTAATCCAAAAATGAGCAAAGAGGTGGCGCGTGAGTGGAGCTGAGGCGGGTCATGGACTGTCCTAGGACAGCACCAATGTCACTAAAAGTATCCACATCCCTTAATTGTGTATAAATTTAGGCCTTAACACAATTTAATTGGGTTAGTTGTCTAAAAACTCACAGCTGTACAGTTGTCATGGTTGCTGAAATTAGCTATAGAGACCAAAAGGGTTTGTTATACTCGGCTGTAAACATGTTTATTTCTGCAGTAAATGTGGACATTTTAACATGGAGCTCTATGAAGACTAACTCATTTTTGAGCCAGCCTCAAGTGGCCATTTAAGGAACTACAGTTCTATACTGGCTTCAGTCTTGGAAGTTTTCACTTGTTAATGATGCACTTTGTCAGCTTTGATTGATTATTCCCAACACACTTATGGTGTAACTTTTAAGTTCTATATCTAATAGTCACAATAACGTCCAAGCAAGCTCAGAAAAATCAAGATACACAGTAAATCTCATTTTATGGTTGATGGTACCAACAAACCTTTCCTTAGTTAGCGTACTAACACGGTTGCCTAATGACAGAAAAGGTGTTACTACTATCTTTAAAGCTGACTTTCTGGCAGCTCATTCTAACACTTTTTAGCATGTGCTGTTGCCTGCAATGTGCTGTTGCCACATCTCCTCTGTAATGTAGCTGATAATGGAGAATTCCTCCGTGCAAACATGACAAGATGATATGTGGTTTGCAGGGCTGTCATGACAGAAGAATTCACATTAATTGTTCACTTTTGTTGGCAATTAATTTCCAGAATACAAGCGTAAAGAGGTGGAGAGAGAGTCTTTAATCACAACTATACTGAATGATGTTCCTGTAATGGAGTCTGGTACCTGAAAGAGTACCAGTTTACCACTAGTTTGGCAGTTTAATGTGATTTTTCATTCCCTGAGACATTAGCTGGATCAATGCTTTAGCAGGTCTTGAGGTATAATGATATGCGGATTAATAACATAATATAATATCAAAGCACTGTTTTGAGGGTTAATAGCAAATTAGCACCTATTTACACAAGAATTTCGCTAATTTCTGCATAGATAATTTTTTTAACCAGGAAGGACACGTTCCTGTAAATCTAGAATTGAATGGTGCCTTCTCAGGGCTCTAAAAGCAGAAACACAGTTTAGCTTCAGTATTCAGTGTTGATGAGGATGCCATCACAAGCGCAGTTTTTGTTTTTTATCTTTCACTTCCATTGCCTGGCACCAACATTAGTGGATGGTGGACAGTTTGGCGTATGGCAAAGTTGAAGTCATGGTGGATTTAATTCAGTGATTAATCCAATTATGCACAGACTGTAATTCAAACCTGCAGGCCTATTTACCAGCTTTAATTGTACACTACAATTAAACTACGACATAATTAATATTTCCCCAGACTATTTAATAAGGAAAACAAGACACCCACCCACCATTGTGTTGTGAATTTGCACCTCGGCATGACACTGTTTTGTTGCTGCAACCGGAACAATTTCAACTTTAATTTGCAGCTCATTGAAGATACGATTTATCTTGTTACGAACACAATAATCCAACACAATCAAACAGTAGCGATGTGCTGTTTCACAGCGGGGAGCTTGATATAAATCTCATGCTTCTAGATAAATAAATCCCTGTGATTGTTTGCTTCAGTTTCTGTTAACAATTTACTTGAGCGAGGGGGGGAAAAAAAATGGATGAGTTATTTCCGCTCTGGCATTATGTGGGCAGCAGAGTAAATTGATGGTGGAGGACACTGCACCTTGAAGTCACATAATTAAGCCCATCCATAAGTCAGCAGCCAGGTTTTCTGTCAGAGTCTGACACTTTATAACTCACAGCTACAAATCTATCAATTTATAAGGAGAGATCTGCATGTTATTTTTTATTCTGGATCATTACTCTCTAAAACAATCCTCCTCAGTGTTTCAAATTTGTCATTTCATGACAGTGTACAAGTGTGTTTGTGTAATGTAATCACTCAGTAATTGCTGAGGGAACTTGGAAAGCTTTAGCTCCATTTTCACTTGTGTAATTGCACAAAGCTCAAATTAATCTACCACACTGACTTCCCAACTTCACTAAAGCATTTCAAATGAATCTCAACAGTCACGGCACTCTTAAAATGTTTGCATACCGAGCCAATCGATGCACAAACTGTGTGCAGAGCTGAGACATGCATGTGCCTTTCAGGCTCCAGCACAGTGAGCGACGAGACATAATCGGGGCAACAATTTCTGTATCTGCAGAAAAACGCTCAGTGCAGCTTTGTTTTCTAATCTGGTTTGTAGCAGCCTTTGGAAAAGACAAAATATAGTTTTCAGCGTGTGCCAAAGAGAAAGCGTACGACAGAGTGAAGGCGTCACACAGCTGCGTGTAATATCTGTGTTGAGTGATATGTGAAAAGGAGGGTAAGTGACACCTCTCAGGCTTTCTGAGGAGAGACGGAGGTGACAGGTGGGAGAGGTGGAGAAACAAACTTTTAACAGTTCTTCTCACAAAGCGTTAAGTTCCGTTTTGTTAATATGCCATTGTCGTTTTCTTTTTGAAGCATCTTATTTAAAAAAACTAATATTTTTTATGAACATTTTTCAGTTAAAGGGAAGAAGCCAGTGATTCTACACCGCAAAGTATAACATCTTCTGTGGCAAAAGTATATTACAAACACTGCTGAACTGTGGGAACTAAAGGATCTAGCTTTACAGAATTTGTTTGACTCATACAAGTGTCAAATTGGGCATTTATAATCCATGTTAAAGTGACACTGAGTAGCTCATCAAGGCTACCACGATAAATGACACAGCATGTCTACAGAGGTGGACAATGAGGCTTCATGCATCTATACATTCACCAGTCTGTCAGTGTATTGTACTGTTATTTAATTTGTAATATAGCATGAAAAAATGATCAGTTTGTGTTCAAATGCAGTAAATTATGAGTAAACACACAAGACTTTTGTCCTGATGTTGATACAAAGCTGCTTTTTTTGCATATATATATCCAGTATATACTGATTTATGAAACACTGACTTCAACAATATCGCTAAAAACCTGTATTTTACCCTCAAAATGCTCAATTAAAGGTTTTAGTTAATGCAGGAGACATCTGAGGATTCTATCGACATTATTTTTTATTGTCATGTACCTAAACACACCTCAGGGCAAGCCACTTATTGCCATGCATATACCAAATTACTGCACCCCGCTGCTTCTCCCGTCGTCCAATCACGTCGTCCCTCCTGCAGCATTTAAACTGTCACAGACCTCCTTCTGCATATCAGCTGTTTTCCTGCGGCAGCTCTCACCTCCGCTTTTTATGATTTATTAAAGAGAATGGGGAGGGTGTGAAACGAACATTGACCTTAGCCTGACATTGCCACGAAGCGTACAA